AGCGGGGACAGCGGGTGGTGCTGAAAGCACAGCGCTTTCACTCAGGCTAGCGTGCTTCTCTCCGAACCCCAGTCTGCGCCCTCCCGCTCTTTCCTCTCCCGTGGATGTAGCTTTCCCTTCGGACACAAAGCCTGCTAGTTACCCCGGAGTGGCAGCATGAGCGGCATGCCAAGGAGACAGCCCTGGCTACAGCGACTTGGGGAAAGAACCCAGGGCAGGCCCACGAGCTAGCCGGGTGACCAGAGCCTACCCTGCACTTGGGACTTCGAAGAGGGAAGTGAGGAATCTGCCTGGGGGGGGCTCTGGAACTGGTGCTGGATTTCCAACTGCCCGCATTTCCCTCCGGAGCGGGCGCTGTGGGAAAGGGAAATTGAGGAGAGGTTAACAAGTGCTTGGGCTTCTTTAGGCACTATCTTGGTGCTGCCTCAGCTGAATCGAAAGCTTGAGTGGCCAAGCAGGTAGATTCTCCCACACTTTACTTTCCGCTAAGAAACTGACACAGGTCAGTGGGAAGGCAGTGGCTTCCTTCCACTTTCTTCATTCTCTACATATTGTTTCATTGTTCTAAGTCCCTTGAGACTGATCTAGAGCTAATCTGTATCCTTCAAGCTAACTGCTGGCCTTTTGAGGCAGCCAGGGAAGCACGGCTTTGTGCTGTGTGCAGCCCCCCACCCTAGCTGCCGTGGGGCTAAGTTTAAGTTTTCTGTAGAATCCTCTTAGTTATACAACATTCTAGACATCCTTTTGAGTTTTGGAGTGTTCAGGTATGCTACCTCTTGTTAGGTGTGCTTTGTGCTCCTTATTCCTCTCATGGAGCACAGGACTTTTCCTCCTTTAATTTCTCTCTTATATCCATGCAGTTACACATTTAAGAATCAGTTGTGACTATTTTTGTCCTTTATGGATGTCAATTTCTGTTTCAAAGGATCTTTGGTTGGGACTTGAAAATACTGCTTTGTGAACTCATCAGGTTAATGCACAACCCAGCCTCCAGCCTTCTCCAGTGGAAACCTTTTCAGCACTCCGGACAGATCCTACAAGGTTTGGTTTTTTGGTTTGTTTTTGAAGAATGTGAATAGAATATAGTACTTTCTACATAATTGCTTTACCGCTTCTTGAAGAGGAAAGCTTTCCCTGGTCATTTAGAATCTACTTGACAAAATATTTAATTTAGGTATTTTCACTGCACCCCCTAGATCTTTGCTATCCCATGGTAATATTTTGGCTGTAGGCTACATTCAAAAACAAACCAAACTCTTGTTTGTTTGGTTTTTTGTCCTTGAACTTTTTATTCAACATTGTACTGGAAGTCTATGATGGACAGATTTCCACGGTCACCACCTCCTGATATCCTTGCCCTTGCGTTATCCCCTTCCCCTTCAGTGTGCACAGGACCTGTGATTCGCTTTTATTTTTGTGATTATTTTTTTGAATTTTATTTTATTTTTTTAATACAGCAGCTTCTTATTAGTTATCTGTTTTATACACATTAGTGTATATATGTCAATCCCAATCTCCCAATTCATCCAAGAAACCAAACTCTTTAATGTTCATTTATTAAAGGGCATATTGAGATTATTTCGAGGAGAGGAGTGGTATTTGAATATTCAAGTACTTGCCCAGTTCTTCACTTTACTTTCATAGGTAGACATAAGCCTCTGCCATCACATCATGGTACACATTATGGACATGATGACAAATGCCAAGGGGAAAGCTGAAAAATTCACTCATAGGTAGTGTGCCCAACCAGTACAAAATATACAGACTTTGAGAATATTTAAGTAGCTACATAATATCTTCAGGTTATACTCTGCTTGTTGACATTGTTTTGTTCCCTATTCAATAATTTATCTCATTAAACATGTTTACTTTCATGACTGAAAGATTTTACTAATTCTAAGTTTTTTTTTACATTTCTTCAAAACACGTTGAAGATTTTATAGGAGTCGTATTACATTGTCTCTTATGGAATTGTCAGAGCATTTTATATAGAAAAACTAAATTAAGTGCCAATGAAAGGTAGGTGAAATTACAGGTAGAAAAATATGAGATAAAGTTAATCGTGAAAAATATTGCACTTATTTGTGTACCATTTTCTCCCAGGATTTCTATCCTCATGAGATGAAGAGACACATCCAACTATTCCTCCTTATACTTTTTGCCGTTATTTTGGTAGATAGAGTTTAAACTAACTTCATGAAATAGTGAAGACTACCTTTTGATATATGTTGGTATATGCTAAAGCTGATCAGTTTGGCATTTGGATAAACTGAAGGTGTATTACTACAAAGCAGGAACATTCTACAATTGAGAAATATGTGTTATTTTTAATATTCACAGAAATGTTAATCCTAGACCCGAGGCATCATTTAGTCATCACTTCCAGTGCGTGGAGTTTGGAGAATATAAGAATATAGGAGCCTCAAAAGAAATATTTTTTAGTTTATGATGTGCTTGTATAACCCAGGAAAATTTAAATTTTGAGTTTGCATTTCAACTATCTGTAACTGAGAAAATATCTTCTTGATATTCCTTTCTCTCAGTTGGTTAAAACGTAGTTCTAAAAAACATTATGCCATAAGCTTGCTTCCATTTTCTTTAAATTCTCAAACAAGAGAAAAATATCGAGATTTTATCAGTTCTAATCTCATTTGAATTGTGCGTACCTTTAGTCGTGTATGTACCTTTGCTTGGGAAACAAGGAAAGGTCTTGATGCAGGCTTATCTCTGCTCTAATAACTATCATTTATTGAGCACATCAGGCACCGTGCCAAGCATTATATATCTTATTTAATACTCATAACAATCATACAGGGCAGTGATTTTTCTGTTATTAAAATTGAGGGTTGTTTCCTTCCACTGTCATGTAACAGGGAAATGGAAAAACAAAATTATATGTATATATAATTTTATACACATACACACACGTGTGTGTGTGTGTGTGTGTGTGTACACACACATACATATGTCTGATTTGTTTGGAACTCAGACTTATCCTTTTTCCATTATATTAGATAACTTTTCCATTTTATTAGATAAACACCATGGAATTGTTTCATTGTGGTTTCCAGTGACTTGTGATATGGTTGGGAGTACAGACCCTTGCACAAGATTGCCTGAGTTTGAATCCCAGCTTTGTGGCTCATTAGCTATGTAACCTTGGGCAAATTACTTAACATTGCTCTGCCTCTCTTCCTCATTTTTAAAATGGGGAACAGGTTGTAACACTATTAGCCTCATTGAGTGATTATGGTGAATTAGTTACACAAATATAAGTAAAGTGCCAGCCCCAGAGTGAAAAGTACAGAACTGGTCGTTATAACTATTAATCACATCTAGGCCTTTGAATATCAGATGTTTCCTAGGTTTCCTATGTTATTGAGTTTAATCTTCTCAACAACCATATGGTTGATACATAATTGCTGTTTCAAATAGCTTCTTTTATTTTAGTCAAAACTATTCAGGAAATTTAAAGGAAAAAGTTAGATGCAAGAAAATGTATTTTATGTTGATGTGATTCTGTTGGTCTTATAAAGACCTAAGAATAATTCCCTAGTGATTATTTTTTTTTACAAGTCTAGGTATAGACCACTGACTTTAAACCTCTGAGCATGAATGTTCTGAGGAAAATTAAAAGTTCATAGTCATAATGGCACTAATGGGCCCTGTAATAATAATGCAGCCCGTTGCATCATAATATTTTGCAGAAGAATAATTTTAAAATATTAAAAATCAATTTGTTTTAATACAAAGTATTACACAATACAGGTAATGTAGTAGAATCCTTTAAAGACCCAGAAGAAAGGTAAATAATATTA